AAAAAATAGTTGAACCATTATTTCTTGAAGTTCTATTCTATCTATATTATAGGTTAGTAGGAGCTGAACAAACAAACGAAATACAAATATAGAAAGGGAGGGATCACTCCTGAAATTAGAAGGAATTAGAGTCCTATAAGGAAGAAGAAAAAAAGGGCTAAAAAGGGAAAGCACTAATAAAAAGAAATTCTCAAATTTAAAGTTCTAAATGATGGTGTACTAGATTGAAACACTTGAAAAACAGGAGGTTATTCATACTTGCAACAATAAATAGAAAAAATAAATTGCGAAATATGGCTATCTCTAATGAGTTCAAAAATAAGTCGTGGAAAGCAGTTTATTAATTTTTCAAATCTATTGCAATACAGATACCAAGAAAACTACCTTCACCGAAGACAGGAGAGATGAGCGATGGGACAAGAAGTGGACGGTTGCAGCAATGTGGTGAAGTATTAAAGTTTTCTCTTCTTGCATATGTTTTTATTTTTTTAGCAATATTTCGTGTTAAGCGCTAAAACTAACTAAAATGTATCGACGACAAAAAAATTTGTGTTTTCATAAACCTCAAAATAAATAATTGTGAGATTACTTATTACCAGTTAATTCAAATTATAATCTATTTTCTTCTATAGAAAAATATATATAATTATATTAAATATGAATTACTCAAATGTTTCTATGAAAAATGTATATTTAAAAAATATTAAGTTATTATTGAAAAAATTCCAAACCACACAGCACCACCAAACCAAACCAAAACACTGATGTCTCCAAAATGCAGGCAAAGAAAAACCCTTCATCGTTTCACTAATTCGGGCATCATCAGGACAAAAAAGAGCAGCTAATCAAACATAACTCCATGAAATTCAATCGTATGAAATTAAACGTTGTAAACGTTGATGAGTTTTTCTTTGCCTGCATTTTGGAAACATAAGGCTGTGTGGTTTGGAAATTTTCCAATAATAACCTAATATTCATGTTCTGTTTCTTGATTATTTTGAAACCAATTTATAACAATTTAAAAATATCTTATAATAATACATAACAATATAGATACCAAGAAAACTACCTTCACCGAAGAGAGGAAGGATGAGAGTTGGAACAAGAACTTACTCTGCCTGTATATGTTTTTATTTATTTATTTCTGAGAAAGCAATATTACTACATTTGCAATGAGACTACATCTATGAAATATTTAAAAGGTAGGATCCAATCGTGAACTCCGTTCTAGAATTTGATTTCCAATCCCCTTATTCAGACAGACGGGATTACCACTCCTAGCGCTATCCCATATATAGTATAGCTAGGCATCATCAAACGTACCAGAGTACGATAAATTTCAATCGGGGCTGAAAACCCTAAGCCCTATATGGAGCGGCAATATACCGCAATTTCTTCCTTAACGTTGCCATAGCTTCTTGGAATAGCCCCATCTTCCCGTATATTGAACTCCAATCTTCTTCGTCCTGACCTCCTTCTTCTCCCCGAAGAAAAGGCAAATCTACTAACAAGGAATATTTCTTCTTAAGCGCAGAAACATACTAAAATAAATCAACAACCAAAATTGGAGTGTATTAATACCTCAAAATAAATAAATAATTATGGGAGACTGATCTATGGGAATAGCTTTCGGGCTGAAACCTCCTCCCACCCTCCCTCCTCTACTCCTAAAATAGTAAAATATAACCATGTTTTATGGAAAAAATATTTTATAAAGTACTATTGTTAGTCTGATTACCTTTAATTGGACTTCATGAATTAATTAAACGCCATTTTATATAGATAGTTAGTTTATTTCTTTTTCTTCAAAATTAATTATCATCATATATATACATATAATTAAGCCCTGGATCCGTTAGTGACAACCAGTACCAGTTCTGTATAACCAGTTAATTCTAATCATGATACAGTTTTTTAAAAAAGAAGAATAGAAGATATCTTTTTCAAGCTTGAAAAAGTTATATTAAATATGAATTACTCAAGTGTTTCTATGATAAAAATATGTTTTAAAAATTTCATATAATAATACGTAGATTTTTTTAAATATATTCTATAATTATGATATTCCTTTGTTTAAAAAAAATGATCAGGGAATTCTTATCAAATTGGTTCACTAGTTATAGAAATACAAATATATAAAAATAATGCAATTTCTTTTCATATAATAATCGACATAACTATTTATTTTCCCATTAATATGGAAAATAAAAACTAAATCGATGTAAACTCAATTATTAATAACTTTAAAGAAACAACTGATGATTTACATAATATTAAAAAAAAAACACACATAAATTAATAATATTGCAGTACCATTTACTCGGTGCCATCAAAGGAGATTACTTTGTATAACATTTTAGACTTTTTCGATACATTCTACATTTTTTACAGAATTTCAGAAAACGTGGGTATATAATTGTGTAAGATGAGGTATTAAAAAGAATGTGGCACAATGACAAAAAAATATTAATAACCTTTTTAAAAAACCAACAGTAAATCAGGAATCCAAAGATAGCTAATTAGCTTACTTTGGCATTGGACCGATGACGCAACAAATTATTTTTTTCCTATTTCAAATAAAACTAATGCAATTCCTTTTCATATAATGACCAATAAAAATATTTATTTTCCAACTAATGAGGAAAGTAAAAATTAATATATATATAATATATATATATATAAATTAGGACTATGGCTGTTCTATAACTTTTCATTCGTTATGTTATATATAAATATATATTAAACATAAGTTCATTTCATCAGAGTAGGAATATTTGAATCTAACATGAAACAGGATCTAAATGTTCTGATAGCTCAAAAAATCAATATTAAAACATATTCCATCCATACTTTTAAAAAATTAGGGCAATGTCCAAAATATTAAACTTTGAATTAAATACACAAAAGAAATCTGGGTCTGAAAAACATTAATGGTTAAAAGGATCCATGTCCTCCCCAAATGCTAATTGGAAGATATCGGTTTTTTTTTTTTTAACCCGAAAATGTACATTATTTCTGACTTACACGTTTATAGTTTTGGGCCTTGGTTATTTGTTTCCGAAGTGCATACATAAAACAGTAATAAATGTTTTGTGAGCAGTAATTTCATCATAGCAAACAATTTTTGATATTATGATAAAAACATTTCGTTTTTCCTTCACCAAGAAAATGTCAAAGTGTATTACCATTTTCCAACAATAATTTAGAAATAAAAAATACTTCAATAAACTAGAAAATTTTATCTATATTTGACATTAGTTAATAATTGAATTAGAGAAACCTAAGTTAACTTTTAACGGCCAAAATGTTATTCGTTCACCTTGTGCTATCCCTATCTTTCCAACTTTGTAGAGTCCTATATAGTGTTGTCCAAAACCGGTCTTGGCCGAGCACTTTGCAAGACCAAGACCAAGCCCGCCTAACTGTTGCAAGACCAAGGCAAGGACTGGTAAAAAAAATCGATTTTTTAAATAAAAATTAAGGCAAAATAGTTACTAATAATCCACAACTTTAGTTACTATATGTTAAAATTGGTATAACCAATATACTTTTGCATTTAGCTCCTCTAATTTTTCATTCAGGCTTAGTTAGGTTTCTCCTGTCTAAAACATTACAGTAATATCTCTATAGTAATAAGCTAATAGGGAATTAGACGAGACTCTTGAACAAGAGCAAGACCATGACTAAGTCTGAGTTTGTAAGACCAAGACTTGTCTCGGTCTCGCATTTGGGCAACAATAGTCCTATACGATCTTAGAATTACAGAACTAAGTAATTAGTTGTTTATGATTGTTAAAATAAACACGTTTTTATGACATAACAAGTTGAATAAAAGTAGGAGCGGAAGAAATATGTATGAGGAGATTTATTGTCATTTATTCATCTCATATTTGTTTGTATCATAATTATTTTCACGTGCTCTACTTTCGTAGACGGCCGTGGTTTTCTTACCAGTTACAGCCTAAAGTAACAGGTTATAGGTTCTGAAACAGCTATTTGATCAATTGTTACAACGTAGTGTGTGAAAATATCGATCCGTAGATATTTTTATTGACTATCATTAATAAACGGCCTTATCAAATAGGTGAAACAATCAAATAATTAGTTTTTTAACTCATATATTTAAAACATATTAATGTTTTAACGTTTTTGTATAAATAAAATTTGTTGAGTTACACCAAAACAATCCTTGAAAACAGAGAGAAACGGGTATCAAAATCCCGAAAGTAAATTAAAAAATGAAATGTATTTAATTTGATGGTTTATTAAAAAAAATATATAAACACTACAATTGAATAATAAAGGAAAGATAACAAGTACGAACAATAGAAAAATATATAATATAAATAAATGTCATTCGTTCTCTAAAGTGAAATTCATTCATCATAACGTTTTATTTTTTATTTCATAAAGTTCCAAAGGTAATTAATAATCTTATTACGACTTTTAATTATTTTCAAACTCAAAACGACACTTTTATTTCTTGGAGAATGGCCCTCATAATAAAAATAAAAATCATAATTAACAGTTGTTATATTAACAGTTGACCGTATCCGTAAAATATTGTTTAGTTAAAAATAAAATTTTCTCTTAAAACTTAATATATTTTATAGTTATTATACGATGAAAAATAAAAATAAGGTTAATCAATATCAAGGAATTTATTTTTACAATTTCCACTCTCTTCTAATCATTTTCATCGATAAATAAAGGGTATAATACCAAACTTCAAAGGCTCGTGTTTTTACAAAACTTACACGTTTATGCTTTTATAAAAATTAAAAAAACTAACACGCTATGCACGATAGATCTAATAGAAATTACCTTATCATAAACATTTATTTTTCATGGTCCGGTAACCCTGAGCGTTGGGGCAGGTGATCGAAAACACAAGCACGACCTTGCTCTAATAGAGAATCTAGACCTACCTAACCTGAGATGTTTTCTTACCCATTAGCTGATGAAAGGGGGGGGCAAGGCGTAATTCAATTTGTTTGAGCTCATCGATAAGTTCCCTCTGTCACAAAAATCACATCAACCCCAAAAATGCTTACCTAGAAAAAAAGAAAAAAACAACAATGTGAATTAGATTATAATATTGAAACGTTGTAATTATTAATATAGATCAAAATCATAAAGATTAATTAAGCACTAGTATTATATCATTAGTTTCTTGCAAAAAGCTAATAAGTAACATTTTATAAAATTAAATTACAATATTCTGTGATCAATATTCCTTCGATGCCAGTATTCATAAATAAGCTTGTAATTCACGAAATTGAACTTTAGCTTTGTCAAATGTATTGTATTGATGTATTGACTTTTTGCAATAAACGTAAAGTGTAAAATTATTATAATTTTTTAAAATTTTATATTAATAAACATAATAATAAAAAACGTTCAATGGGTAAGTTTAAAAACGCAGCACTAAGCTCATCGATAGCGTCGGTAATCCTTCAAACCGTTCCTAAAGTCATCGATTGAATCTCAGATGGATCAGCAGTTCTATAACGATGGATCTCCTTGACGTAACCACTTTATAACCTTGTTACTTTTCCTCGTGAATAAACCTATTTTTAAGGAATTCGTTGTAAAGCCCCTCTTTGTGAGACATGATTTTTTATTTGCATTTTCTATTTTGTACTTAAAAAAATAACACTTTTGCTATTTTCATTTATAATACCTACTTTTTCTCATAACAATTTAGATACTTTGTAAGAAAAAGAAATTGTATTTTAAAAATTCTTGGTATTTTAAATCAAAATTAAAATATTCTTTGCCGAGGTTTGTTCCGCGTTTTACTGTTAATATCTAGAATAAATGATTTAAGTAATGACAAATACCGAATAATTGTCCTTCGAGGCTTATCAGTAACGTAATTTCTCTAGTATGAGTTTTATAACATTTTTAATTATTTTTTCTTAAAGAAATATAATATACTTTATATTCAGCTCATTTTTTATCTACTAGTTTTTTTTTTTTTTTACATTGATTTAGTTGGTGTTATAGAAGTTCCTTTTGAAGGTCTCAATAAATTTTCATCCCCTCCTCCCCTCTTCACCATTTTATTTCGTATTTTTTCGTGGTTATTAATGTTTTTCAGTCTTTCTCCAAATAAAGTTAATTAATTAATTAATGTTGAAACTATTTGTAAGTGAATTGAATTAGTGTTAGAGAACCTTTTAGGTTTCTCAAATTTTTCTCCACCTTTCTCAAATAATAACCGATTGGATGTAAAAGACATACCTGAAAATTTTAACTTATAAACAAAACTTATGTTATAAATTAGTTATAAAATAGTTCATAAATGAACTTTAAAGTTTTAAGTTTTGTCACTGACAATTAAATTCCTCATAGTTAAAATCTTAAATCATCTAGTTATGTTGTAATATGCAACTATGTTTTCAAATAATGGAAAGCTCATAAGAAATCTACCATCTACTAAATATCGTTCTAAAACCAATAGTAAAGAACGAATTAGTGACGCAAGATATGTCACTAATTCAAATAAATAAATAACAAAAGGCTTAGCAAACTCGATGGTTCTATGCCGACACCACCAATATATAAATTCAAAGGTTTAAAAAAAAAATATGTTATTGTTATAGACTACCCATAGCTCCATCGCCGTACCCTTTGCAGCCAATCTAGCAGTGCCCTTCCCACTGACTCAGTTAGGTTCAAGGACAGAGACAAATCATTCTAAATCCATCGATAATGGCTACTCAGGGTCAGCAGGCGCACTTTTTTTAGGTCCTCCCCTTCCTCACCGTTAAGGCTATACGGGGTTTTCTCGGGCCAGGGAGTGTGGGCGGGGAATTAAAAGACTCCCTCGGCACCGGGACGCGAACTCGTGACTGTTTTATATAATTTGATTGATATTTCAGGTTGCCGAGAAACGGCGGTGCTGTGCACACGCATTAGCCCATTCGGCTACTCCGCCCTTCAGCAGGCTCACTTGAGCTTATTTCTTTCTCTGAATCAAACATGCATGGTCAACACTTCAGGAGGGTTACTGACACCCTAACAAACCACGACTATTCCCCATTAAACTGCACGAGGTACGATCATCAGCCCTACACCCAGTTTCCTTTAGTAGTGTAACGAACCCCTCATATACCCGGAGGAAGGAGTAGGATCTCGAGCAAGGTGGATTTCCTCGATGAATGGTCAGTCACGCAATTACACGCTTAACTTTGATTACCTGAAGCAAGTGCCTTAACCCGCTCATTCAAATTTTGTAACACAGCCCATAGTCACTTATAATATAGTTAAAATATAAAATTAATTTTCACAGAGGTGCTGCTGGGTTCCATGCTTCGTCATGCCTATCATGTCATTTTCTACCTAAAAACAAATCTGCTAATTGTCACTACTATGACATGTGCGGATGAAGAATTGAAGACAAAAAAAAAAAAATAAAATCACATAACATTAAACATTTACAGAGACAATTTTATTGACCAATATTACTGATAATATCAATATATGACAAGAATAACTGGGTAATTTAAGGCAAGTCTGCCAAAAATCTGACAAAAATTGACATGTTAGTGTAGGGGAAAAGCTGAGCGCCATGCCATTCGCCAACAGCTGGCAATGATCAGTAGTAATGGAGCTGACTGGTTTCTCTCATTCAGTTGATATGTATACTTTAGGCCAATGTGTAACATTTCCTCAATATTAATTGACTCAGAATTTTAAAGAATTAAAAAAAAAAGATATGATTGATCTTTAAACAAGAATATATATTTTAAGAGGGATATACAATTCCTCATCCTACCGTTCTATTAGTCTATTTTGGACTAACAATCCGGTTTTGGCAAATTAAATTCAACAATACACCAATCGCACAGTGTTACTGACTAGATTTGATCCTCCTTTCTCTGGATCCTTGTTACCACAAGTTGTGGAGGTTAATAGCTAGAGCATTAAAGCAGACGCAATACCGCACCTAGAGCATTTCTGGATGTCGCCCAAGAATTTTACCATACTAAAAGTGTGTCTAAACTCAAAACAAACGAATTAAATTACTGTATGCACGTTTTTTATAAATAACCAAAACTGAAAACTAGGTTGGGCCTATATACACATATAAACTTATTTAATTCCATATGGACATACACATCACAGATTTACAGTTTAGATAAAATATAGTCCCTACATCAAGACATGGATAGAATAGGTGCAGACTTCGGAGGGGGTATAAAGTATAATAATAGGTGTAAAGTATTATATTGTTCGTTTCACAAGAATTATGTTCATTGTGTTAATTATTACTCATAATTTTTGTACATAATATAAACTCTCGGGAATTTTTTGTTTTGGGTCTATCGCTCCTTCCTATATTGGGCACATTCCTTACCCAAGCCAAGAATTTCATAAAAATCTATATCAGCCTCTCATGTGAAAAGTACGAATAAAGAAATAAAGATTAAAACAAGAGAGAATCACTTTATTATCATAAAAGGGTGCTGCCCAATTACATTGGGTTGCTTTAAACACAGCATACTTATTAATCGCTACAGACAATTTTCCAAAACTAATATACAATTATATAGTATTAACAACATATATGAGCATAATATACATTTTTTTTTTTTTTTATGTATATATATATTTTTTTTTTATCACAATTTTTTTCCTATATTTTTATTTATTTTTTTTTTATTTTATTTATTTATTTATTTTATTTTTACTATTTCTTTAATTCACTTATTAGCACTATACATCCCTTTCTGTTCCTTCTCTCACTCTATACATTTTTCTCCTCTCTTTTCCTAACCTAATTCATAACATGCATACAAATACATAAAGTGCAGTGGACGTGGTCAATAAATAATGTAAAAATGCCGCAAAACACGCATGCCTCCCCCCGTGAAAAACTCTCTATCCATGCACATGGTGATGGATAATTCCCAGGGAGTCAAGGATTATGTTCTCTGCCAACCTTGCCACGTCCTTTATGTCGACACCAAGGCCCTCCATGAAGCTCCTTGTTGAGTCTGGTATCGTTCCGCGAGCTCCGAACCAAAGGCCTCTCACGTGGAACTCTCTCGGCCCGAAACTCTCGCGGAACTTTTCACTAAGGAAAGGGATGCATTTCTCATATGTCTGTTTTTTCTCCCTTTCCACTTTTCCTGCCTGATCGAGGTCGTTGGTCTCATATCTCACGGTCGGATCCAAAATCATCGCCGACTTTCCCGTCTTAGGGAATGCCACAATGTCGGCATATCGGGTGGATCCATCCGTATCTATACAATATACTTCCTCGAAACAGGCGTAATCTCTCTCTATAAGGAGCCTCATCAGTTCATGTTTGACTCTGTGGTGACGGCGCGTTATAAGGAGGGAGTTGTTGGGGCATTTTCCAAGCACATGTGCTGGTGTTTCTGGCTCTCTGTCGCATTTGCGACAGAGGGACCCAACTTCTCTTACCTGTCCGCTGACACCTGGGACTCCACGCAGGGGTGCATAATTAATATTCAGTTTCAGGGCATTTGACCATTCAGACCCAGAAAGTACTTGCTTATCATACATGTATTTGTTGGCTTTCGGGGTCTCTTTAAAATGGCGAACTCCAATGCCCTGCCACCTGCAATTGGTCCATTCCTCAAACGAATTTTCTCGAAGCGACTGCCGTAGAGCTCTCATATTCCGAATACCCCGATCAACCCCCAATCTCTCGGCACATTCATCAACCTCAGCCGAATAATCAAAGATCGACTGAAAAAGGGCATCGGGCACATTGGACAGTCGCTGAGCAATGGACCAATGTTGTAGAGGAGCCTCCCATTGGCAGCGGATTAATCCTAATCCTCGATACCTCCTGGGAGAGTACAACATCGCCGTGGAGGTGTTCGCAGGGAGTCCAACAATAGCCTTCACACTCCTGCGAATCATGGTGTCGATGCCGTCAAGTATGGCAGGACGCAGCTTTGTGAGGGGCGCAGTTTGGAGAGGGTAAGTAAGACCCGGGAACAGATATTGGTTGACAATGTTCAGCTTCTGCTCCGGCTTCAGCAAGGGAGAGGTAACCAGTTTATTCAGATTT